TTTTGAGTAGTTTGGAGAATTGCCCAGAGTGGGGTGGGTATGGAGTAGTGGTGAAATTCAGCAGGTTCTGATAGTTTCTTGAGAACCGGTAGTGGAAATTTTGAGTAGTTTGGAGAATTGCCCAGAGTGGGGTGGGTATGGAGATTTTGCAGTATCCTTCTCCTGCCACACCCACCAAGCCCCGCCCACAGAACCAGCAATAAAAAAATTTGAATCCCACTACTGGATAGGGACCTATCCATCAATCAATGAAAACTATCAAAGGAGGATCTAAGCAGAACAACAGGATTCTTCATTCATTGTAGTATTTGCTCCTTATTATGACTAGCAGAATCAGAGTAAAGTTTAACAGGTAAACAAATTAGAAGGTAATAGTTCAACGGCAAGACAGCATGCTTTGCATGTAGAGGTCCTAGTCAGCATAGTTAAAACGATTACAACATCTAAATTGCAACCAGCAAGAACGAAGAATGCTGAATGACAAAGGCGCCCTACTTGGACTTTATATGAGCCAATATTACCTGCATATTTGCTTGATTTATGATTTTAAGGTTGTGCCTTATTTTGTCTATTTTAGTGAAAGTTTTGTAGAAGGAATAGCAAAGAATTGTAGCTTTGCAATGAAAATAATCAGAAATTTTCAGAACTGGAAAATTTCAGTACGAGACTTTGGATAGTCAAAAGCCCTTCTCCAAAATGTCAGCTAGAATCTGTTTCTCTTTGATCGTGCTGCTTGCTAAGTAACGTGTTGAAAGTACTACAATACTGGACATGGAAAAAAAGGATTAATACTAGATGACAGTAGAATTAAATGGTTTTTAAGTCTCTCTTTGTTGCCAGATAGCGTTTGTCTACACTTTTCTAATTGGATGTCCTCCAGATATGTTATCTTCTGTTCCTATAATCCATGGTAGCTATGGATGACTCATGATGACCATTGATCAACAGAACTTAAGTCCAAAACATCTGGAGAGAATCAAGTTGTGGAAGGCAAGTACTAGTATTTTATAGTTAATCCCTCAAGTATTTTATAGTTAATCCCTCAAGAACAAGGGTACAGAATTGTAGACTTATAAGACTTGCTGAACTATTTCTCCCAACATCCTTTGCATGGATTATATTGGTGAAGAATATTAAGAATAATCTTAATAAAACATTATTTGGAGCATGGTCAATGGGCCCGAAGCTTACATGAGATTTACCTGAACAATCTTTATGTTTGCAAAGAACTGGTCTAGTATAATTTAGATGACTTGATGTAATACCTTTATCTCCTTTGGTGCATATTTTCCCATCATCCTCACGTATGTATCCTTCGTGACAGTCACACCGATAGCTACCAAGAGTATTTACACAGATGTGAGGACAGAGAGGCTCACTGCTTGTGGCACACTCATCAACATCTGAAAGGAAACATATGTAAGCATTGAGGAAATGAAATGATCAAAAGTAAATATAACGTACGTACAATTCTGTGTTCCTTGTACTGGATTTGGAGAGAGACTGTAGCTCAAGAGCAGACATATATTCTGCCTAGGTTGTTTTCCACTACGGATTATCTAATCAGGGGTCCTTCCAATATCCTTTAAAAGAATTTATAACTGATCTTGGAGAAGGCTCTTTGGAAGGGAGGGAGGAAGGAGAAAGTGATTTAGGAGGGACTTGGAAAAGCAATTCACAATTAAGACATTGAAAGAAGCATGATAAAGCAATTCAAAATAAGCTCAACTTGATTTTATTTAATATATGATGGGGCAGAGAGACATGGGTATGCTTTTAAGATTCTATTACTCTACTCTTCAACAATAAAGTAACATTCCTGGAATCCCTGCAGTGTCTGTTTCTTGACCCGGGCAAGCATATTGTCACTGAACACATCTGAAGGATATCAAGTTGGGGAAAACTGGAATACATCATAGGAATGTTCGTTTTTTGAAAATGATAGAAAAGAGGTGCTTTCGAATGCACAGCACTGCAACCTCAGTGGGCAGATAACAAAAAGGAATTCTTGCACAATTTTGCATGTAGATTTGTGAAACCGCAATCCAAAATGCCAGAACATTTGGAAAAGAACAGGAAATTCCAAAAGTAATCACGTTCCTGACACAAGCTTTTTATTTTCAGCTGAAAACAAATACGCAGGGAGAAATTGTGCTGAATTTTCATCTAATAAACAAGATCTCAAGAAAAGAGAGAAAGAGAGAGGTAGCTCAGGATGTTCTTATTGAAAGGACAAAGGACAAAAAGGCATCTGACAGGAAAAAGAGAGATGGCATTTCTTCAATTCCACATGCAGACCTGAGCTAGACTGACAGCTGTTTTTTTTTTTTTTTGATGTCATGACCCTTGGTTCCTGGAGCACCGGACCTTCCTTGCTCACCCACTGGGATGTGTTAGCATCGAAAGGCAGTAAATTGTACGTGGCCCACTCACTTAGGCCACAGGTGCTACGGAGGTGCCACGACATGAAACAGGCAGGCCCATTTCATCGTGTGACCAGGAGGTGCTTGGAGGCTAACTGCTTTAGCCCACTTCCGTGCTGATAGCAAGCCAGGGCAGGGTACAAAATGGGCCTGAGGTGCTTTGGGGCTTTGCAGCCGCACAGACCGGGCAGTCTCCCGGCTGCACAGTTGATTCCCGGCTCACCCTTCACCAACCAGCTGGTCCTCGGCAGTTGTTGGCATGCTACTGCAGCCTCTCCTACCTCCCCCATCATCACTGGTGCTCTGTTGCTGCAGCCTCCAGATCTCCCACACACACCCATCACCAGTGCTCCACCCCGCCCCGGTATGGCAAACCCCGGGCTTCAGGGTTTGACACCTACTTTATGCACCAGAGGTAGCAGACTTCTTTACAGAATGCAGAACACAATCCACAACACACTGTCCTACAGCACAGCAACTTCAGAAAGACTTTCCAGGCATATCTGCAATAGTTGCCTGTTGTGGCCCAGCAGGAGCCGATGGACTCCGATAGCGAGGGTCCCTATGAGTCGGCTCTGGAA